AGCCGCCTCCCCCAAACAAGGGAGCCGCCTCTCCCCTTGTGGGAGCCGGCTCTACCCTCTGAGAGCCGTAACGCTTAACATGTTCATCTTCTTCACCTCCGGCGAAGTTCAGAGCCTCTGTACTGTTTTTATTATTTGTTCTAGAGTTCAGTCACAGTCCCAAATTAATCCTAAACCATTAATAAACAACCATGATATGAATTGAACACAACTTTTGAAAACAACGGCAGCAGGAATTTAATTAGAAATTTAAACAACTCATAACAGATTAATTCAGTGAAATTAAATACTGTTTAAACATACATAAAAGATGTGTTTTAGTATTAGTTTAATCCCTGGAGCCTACCTAGGCATGCACAGATGTGTTTTAGCATTAGTTTAATCCTTGGAGCTTACCTAGGCATGCACAGATCACAAGTTTAAGGGAAAGAGTAGAACAGAGACTTGCCTTCAGTTTCAGTTTTGAAACTCTAAACCACCGTCTCTGAGTTTTCCGTCAACGTCCTAGACTGCCGTTCTACACCTCCGGTGCTCTTGGTTCAACCCAGAAGCAAACCCGCTCCTTCCTCCTTGAACCTCTTTGTTAATCTCTCAAGTTCCCTCTCTGCCTCTCAATATCCTCTGTTCGTGGTTTTAGTAGTAAACCCTAGACATAACCCATATGATAGTATATATATACAGACGTCTCTAAACCCTAGTCCACTTAGAATTAGAGATTGAAAACCCTAATTAAATTCTAGTCGGCCTCCACGTAAATCCTAAAAGAAAACTAAAACCTAATTTAAACATTAACTAAACCGTAATGTAAACCCATTCACGTATATAAGTTACTAACCAATTACAATTAAGTTAATTATAGCAAAACCAAACATAAAATACAACTAATTTAATCTCATTAAAATAGGTGAATTCCAAATAGAAAATACAACTAAACAATTAAAGAAAATAACACACAATAACTAAATAATTCAAATAAATCAAATATCAAATAAATGCAAATAAACGATAAAACAAATAAAAGTAACAATTAAACAAATAAAAATGTAATAAAATAAATATTAACATGCCAAAACTATCCTTTTAAAATTAAGGGTATTACAGTGGTATATGGTATTTGGGACTCAACCTGGGTTTGTCTTCGCCGGACTCAACCTTGCCCACTGTAGTCAAACCTATGTTCTTCATTTTTGATTTCACATTTTGGCCAAAGCAAGTCACAACATCATCAAGCTATATATTTACACCAACATCATCCACTGCGCAAGTGTTAATGAACTGAGAATGATGATGAGGCGGCGGCAGTTGGGTGTGATGAAGATGCAGTGTATATATATATACATACATACACACACATACAGAGAGAAAAGGGAAGAGGGTTTTTTACACAGACGGGTTTAGGTTTGGGTTTGGGTTTAGGTTTGGGTTTAATCCAAGGGTATTTAAGTTCAATTAAATGTTAATTTTATATCAAAGGGTAGTAAGGTCAATTCACCATCTTTAGGGTTTTTTGTCTATTTTTAAACTTGAAAGGGTGTCATTGTCCAAAAATAGGCTTGACGAGGCCGCTCCTACACGCCAAATTGATGTAGTGAATGTGCGGTTCAAAAAAAGCCTTTTGGGTCAAGTTTAAATTTATGAAAACCACTATCAACACTACTACTAAAGTAGCAAGAGTGAGTAGGGATCGTCCCAAGGGATTATACGTGTTGGAATTTAACTTTGACTCTAATGTATCACATGATTGCAAAGAGAGAGATTGGTTTAATTAAACTAAGGTGTAATGAAATTAAAATGCAAGTAAAGTAAACTAGTTAGAGATAGGGATTCAAGAGATATGAAGAGAGGTCTTAGGGTGTTGGAATCACCATTAAACTCATGTAATTAACCACTTACTTTCCATTAATGGGGAATACATTGTTGTGAACAAAATGCGACTACCAATTGCAATATTAAGCATGGACCATCTAATTTGTGTATGAATTATCTACCTAAACTAAGTGTAGCACAACCCATCAATTTTAAGCATGACCCATCTAAGTAGCAACAATTGTAGCACACATCAATCTAGAGAATCATGGAATTTGCAATATTAAGTATGAACCATCTAATTTATGTATGAATTGTCTACCTAAACTAAGTTTAGCACAACCCATCAATTTTAAGCATGACCCATCTAAGTAGAAACAATTGTAGCACACATCAATCTAGAGAATCATGGAATTTGTAATAATAAGCTATAGAATATCTAAGCAAGCATAAATTGTCTACTTACCTACAAGTATGAATTAAATTGTAGAACAATCCATCAAGCATAAGTATAAACCATCAAATTAATTGACAAACTCATTCAATGAAAACTCATGCTTAGCCATCACTAGATTTTCAATCAACCACACATAGACATGTAATTAATATAGAAAAACTAGTGTAGAGATTAATTCCCAAATAATCACACATAAGACAACATGTAATCAAATAGATAATCAATAGAAAAAATTAATCCATATGAATCATGTGAGAAATAATTCCTAATTTAATCACACATAGACATGTAAATAAACTAGAGAATTAATAGGAAGAATTAAATCATAGAAATCATAGAAATATACCAAGATTCATGAAATTTACAAAGTTAGAACACTAATCACAACAATATATATAAAAATTCCCAAAAATAGAAATACAAGGGTTTAGATTACACAAGACTTAGGGCTCATCCAAGCCCTAAGTATAGATCTAGCCAATCATGGAGGAGGTGGATGTGGTCATGGAATCAAGCTCCAAATATGGCTCCATCTTCTTCTTCCTCTTCTTCTTCTTCTTCTTTGAAGCTCTAGAGATGGAGATAGAGGGTGGTCTAGAGATGGATCTTGAGATGTGCCTCCACTTCCCCCTTTTCTTCTAACCCTAATCTCTAACTTTGCAAGAGAGAGCAATAAAAAATACAATGTAAAAAATAAAAAGATAAAAAGCTTTTTACAAAATGGGTCACTTCCCTTTATATAGAAGGTCATTTTTTTAGTCATTAAGTCAGAAATATAGGCCCAAAAATATCTAATCCCGTACTATGTAGTAGGTGGACTTTTGGGCGCGCACGGGAATAAGACAGCTCGCTGCCAGCAAAAGTTCGATCGATCAAAGAAAAAGTTCGATCGATCCAACTTTTTCAGAAAGTTGGATCGATCCAACTTGGTAGATTTTCAGCATCAGCTTCTTTTTGCTCCAAATCATCCTCTTTTTGCTCCGAATCATCACTAAGACTTAGTTTGACTCCAAAAAGGCCTTAAGAAACCATTTTTAGCCCATTTTAACATTATTGACCTGAAATAGACAAAAACACAAATAAGTACTAAAACGGAAAAATAAGATAGATAAAGGTTCTAGAACACTCAAGCTTAAGGGGTTTAAAAGTGTACTTTTCAGTGCTCATCAAGGCTAACTTTCATCTGCTTGTCCTTTCCCCAAACCTCAGGGGTGTTCGTGTACTTTACCCTTTAAAAAATGAGCATTGTCATCCAAGAAATTAAACATTGAAAATTAAGGGATTTTAAGGTGGGACTGGATACATACAAGTCCAAGTTGAAATTGAATGAGTACTAACATGTATAACTTCTTTCAATTGTGATACTATCGATCACAAAAAGGATCAATGTAATCAATTTCGTAATTATCTTCTATTTAATTGTGTAAAGGGGAAGAAGGAATATTGAATCATTTAATTTCCAACCAGTTGAATCTATATAGTAATAATATTCTTAGGTATAAATATGAAAAAATATATATATTGTCAGCTACTAAAGCCTATAGCAGCTGTGTTTGGCACTTTTAGGAACAGATATATCAGCTGCCAGATCTAGTTTTTGTTGTAGCGTTAATGGTTGATTTATGTGCTATCATAATAATAGGAAAAAGCTACAAACTGAACTATTCAAAAGCAAAAAAGCATGACTAAAGCCTAATCTTATACCATATATAGTTTTTTTTTTTTTTTGTAAGTTATATCACACTCCTAATTTGAATGTAATACATGTACTCTAAGAAGAAAACAAAATACCACACCATACATAGTTCATAATTCAAAAGCCATAATTAATTAACGTACATGAACAATGCACTTTTGTGACCCACCCAACAGCCTCCCCACCACGGTTGTAGAATTGGAGATGAAAACTATCTTGGTATGATCACAGTACATGCTCAACGTATAAAACACTTCCTTATCTGTTTCAGGCCTAAGTACCCTAGCAATACCATTCACATGTACTTGGAATTCAACAGCTCCAAGAGAAATCAGATCCCTAGTAAGGGACTTGGAAACTTTGTCATTTATGTGCGCTGACGACCCTTTAAGCTCCGCCACCACCACCGTCTCATCCTTCCCGAACAAGCTAAATGGGGAGATATCCCCATATGAGATATAATAGCGGTAATAGTAGAAAAGCGAAGCGGCGGCCCATTCATAGTTGATGGTCTTATTGCTAGGGTTAGGGTTTGCAACTGTGAAGTGAATGGTCCAGTTTGAGGTTACTAATAGAGATCCGGAGATGTTGAAGGGAGAGACCGAAATATCATTGACTCGGAACTTGATAGAAGGGGGCAATAGAGCTTTAATGTTAAAAATAATTAATGCCATGTTCATTCATGTATATGTTCATTCATGCATCTATTATTGTACATGTATCAAGTGGATACATGTATCAAGAGTGTACATGTATCAAGTGTGTGCATGTATCATGTGTGTGGTTGAGATTGTCTTGAAAAGTTCAAAGGTCTATGGGAGAATAGTATATATAGGGTAATGTATTTGTTATTAAGATATGAACACAACAAAGAATTCAATTCAATACAATATTTGTTTCTCTCCTCTCTTCACTTAGAAATTATTTAGTTGGTTGAAACTATAGCCAACATAAGTGGTAGCAGAGCTTGATTTTGATCAAGAGCAAACTGGGCGTGAAGCTTATTGACGGGAAAACAAACCCCGAAGAAGATCCATCGTGATGGCGACTACAGGCAATCAAAACCAAGGTGCCTATCAATCAGCACTTCCCATTTTTGATGGGGAAAATTATGATTTTTGGTATGCGAAGATAAAGACCATTTTTCTCTCATATGATTTATGGGATTATGTTGAAGATGAGTATGATGAACTGGAGGATACAACAACTTTGATGAATACTCAAAGACAACAATTGAAAGATCATAAGAAGAAAGATGCAAAAGCTTTAGGCTTGATTCAACAAGGAGTTGCTGATACAATCTTTCCTAGAATTATCAATGCTTCTAAAGCAAAGGAGGCATGGGATATTCTCGAGAAGGAGTATAGAGGCAGCACGAAGGTAAGAACTGTAAAATTCCAATCTTTGAGAAGAGATTTTGAAAATATGGAAATGAAAGAAATGGAGTTATTGAAAGATTATTTTTCTAAACTTATGGAGGTGGTAAATCAAATGAAGACCTATGGGGAAGATATTTCTAATCAAAGAATTGTTGAAAAAATTTTGATTAGTTTGCCGGAAAAATATGACTCTATTGTTGCTGTTATTGAAGAGACTAAAAAGCTTGAAAACTTGAGTGTTGAAGAATTGATGGGTTCCATAAAAGCATTTGAGCAAAGGTTGAGTAGGTGCTCTGAAAAGACAATTGAAAGTGCTTTTCAATCCAAGCTCAATGTTAGTTCCAAAAATCAAGAAAAATACCCATCAAGTTTTGATCGATCCAAAGATGAATCTTCTAGAGGTGGAAGACACGGAAGAGGAAGATGAAGAAATTCAAGAGGAAGAGGAAGAAATAATTTTGAGAGAAGTGGAAATATAGAGTCCACTCAACAAAATTGTGAATTTGTAAGAGAAGTAGCCATGTTGACAAAGATTGTTGGTTTCGGGGAAAACCTCAATGTTTCAATTGCAAGAAATTTGGACATGTTAAAAAAGATTGCCGATTGAAAACAAATCAGCAAGCTAATTTTTTCGAAGAGCAAGAAGGTGAAACGAGCATGTTTTATGCTTGTCACTCGACATCGGAACAAAATGATGATGTGTAGTTTCTTGATAGTGGGTGTAGTAACCACATGACCGGAGATAAAAACATATTCTTGGAGATTGATTCTTCATCCAATTCTCAAGTAAGGATGGAAAACGGTGCCTTGGTCCAAGCAAATGGAAAAGGTACTATTGCCATAGAGACAAAAAAAGGAAGAAAGCATATTCGGGATGTGTTACTTGTTTCGGATTTGGAGCAAAATTTGTTAAGTGTTGGACAGCTTGTAGAGCATGGGTACTCCATTCATTTTGATGAGGACTTTTGCAAAATTTATGACAAGGGAGGACAAAATCATATTGTAGCAAAAATCAAGATGAGCAAAAATAGAAGCTTTCCTCTCACTTTTTCATGTTAAAAAAATATGGCCTTGAAGATGGATGTTGTTGATGAGTCTTGGCTTTGGCATAGAAGACTTGGCCATTTGAATTTTCAAAGCTTAAAGAATTTACAACAAAATAGCATGGTGTATGGGTTGCCAACAATACAAGAAGTTAAAGAAGTTTGTGAAGGTTGTGCTCTTGGCAAGCATCACCGAGAGTCATTTCCGAAAGAGAAGGCATGGAGGGCTAAAGCACCATTGGAGCTTGTTCATACCGATGTGTGTGGACCGATGACAACACCAACTCAAGCGGGTAACAAGTATTTTATTATTTTCGTTGATGATTTTTCAAGAATGACATGGATTTATTTCATGAGACAAAAATCAGATGTGTTCTCTATTTTCAAAAAATTTCAAAAGCTTGTTGAAAGGCAAAGTGGCCATCTTATCAAAGTGTTAAGAAGTGATAGAGGTGGAGAATACAACTCAAATGAGTTTGAAAAGTTTTGTGAAGATATTGGCTTGGAGAGACAATTAACGGTTGGGTACACTCCACAACAAAATGGAGTGGTAGAAAGGAAAAATAGAACAATCATTGAGATGAGAAAATCAATGATTTATGAGAAGGGGCTTCCTAAATCATTTTGGGGTGAAACCGTGTATACGGCTGTTTACTTAATGAATAGGAGTCCAACAAAGCGGTAGAGAATAAAACTCCATTTGAAGCATGGAGTGGAAGGAAGCCATCATTGAAACACTTGAAAGTTTTTGGGTGTATTTGTTTTACTTATGTTCCAAGAGAAGTGAGACACAAACTTGATGAAGCTAGTGAAAAATGCATCTTTGTGGGTTATAGCTCAAAATCAAAGGGCTATAGACTCTTTAATTTGAAAAAGAATAAATTGATTATTTGTAGAGATGTTCTCTTTAACAAGAAGGCTGCTTGGGATTGGAAAGAGAAGAAAGTTCAAAATCAAATCCCCATTTTCAATGAAGAATCAGGAAATCAAGAAAATGAAAATGAAGATTTTCTTGAAGTTCCACAAGAAATGTCTCCCATATCTAGCTTACAATAAATCCCAACTTCTCCATCAAACTCAAATTCCTCATCTCCAAGTTCAACTCCAAGAAGAATGAAAAGTCTTAGTGATGTGTATGCAAGTTGCAATTTTTGTGTTGTTGAACCGAAGAACTTTGAAGAAGCAATTAAACAAGAGGTATGGAAAAAAGCTATAGAAGATGAAATTTATGTGATTGAGAAGAACAAAACTTGGGAGTTAGTAGAGAAGCCGGAAGACAAAGATGTGATTGGTGTGAAATGGATTTTTAAAACAAAATTCAATCCGGATGGCTCCATTCAAAAGAACAAAGCAAGACTTGTAGCAAAAGGGTATTCACAACAGCCCGGAATTGATTTTCAAGAAACTTTTTCACCCGTGGCTCATCTTGACACAATTAGAGCACTCATTGCCTTGGCGGCTCAAAATGGTTGGTCCTTGTATCAACTTGATGTAAAATCAGCCCTCTTGAATGGTATTTTGAAAGAGGATGTCTATGTAAAACAATCTCAAGGCTTTGTTGTAAAAGAAGAAGAAGAGAAAGTTTACAAATTAAAGAAGGCTTTGTATGGCCTAAAACAAGCACCCCAGGCATGGTATAGTGAGATTGATTCTTACTTTATCAAAAAAGGCTTTCAAAGGAGCATAAGTGAGCCAACCTTGTACTACAAGACACAAGGTAAAACTGGGATTTTTATTGTTTCTCTTTATGTTGATGATTTGGTATTTACCGAAAGTGATGAAAAAATGATTGATGATTTTAAAAGAGAGATGATGAAAAAATATGAAATGAGTGATTTGGGTTTATTGCATTACTTCTTGGGCATTGAAATTTATCAAAAAGAAGGAGGAGTTTTTATTTATCAAAAGAAGAATGCAAAAACTCGTCTTGAAAAATTCAAAATGTTAAATTGCAAATCCGTTTGCACTCCCTTGGTTGTGAATGAAAAATTGATGAAAGAAGATGGAAGTAAAGAAGCGGATGCATCTCTCTATAGAAGCTTGGTTGGAAGTCTATTATATTTGACATCTTCAAGACCCGACATCATGTATGCTACAAGCTTATTATCTCGGTTTATGCACAATCCGAGTCAAATTCATGTTGGGGCTGCAAAGAGGGTATTGAGATATATACAAGGTACACTTGATTTTGGTATCTTGTATGAGAAAAATGTTGATGCAAAGTTGTTTGGTTTTTGTGATAGTGATTGGGCCGGATTTGTTGATGATATGAGAAATACTTCCGGTTATGCATTCTCTCTTGGTTCGGGTGTATTTTCATGGGCATCTAAAAAGAAAGAAACGGTTGCGCAATCTTCTGCCGAGGCTAAGTATATTTCAGCATCAATGGCAGCGTCACAAGCAATATGGCTAAGGAGAATTTTTGAAGATGTTGGTGAGAAGCAAAGGGAAGCTACTCCAATTTTATGTGACAACAAATCCGCAATTGCTATGACAAAGAATTCTATTTTCCATAGTCGTACAAGACACATTGCAATCAAACATCACTTCATTAGAGAAGCCGTGGAGAATGAAGAGATTCAACTCAAGTATTGTAAGACAGAAGACCAAGTTGCGGACATTTTTACCAAAGCACTTCCAAAAAATAAGTTTGAATACTTTAGAGAATTGTTGGGTGTCACAACATGGCATTAAGGGGGGTGTGTTAAAAATAATTGATGCCATGTTCATTCATGTATATGTTCATTCATGCATCTATTATTGTACATGTATTAAGTGGATACATGTATCAAGAATGTACATGTATCAAGTGTGTGCATGTATCATGTGTGTGGTTGAGATTGTCTTGAAAAGTTCAAAAGTCTATGGGAGAATAGTATATATAGGATAATGTATTTGTTGTTAAGATATGAACACAACAAAGAATTCAATTCAATACAATATTTGTTTCTCTCTTCTCTTCACTTAGAAATTATTTAGTTGGTTGAAACTATAGCCAACATTTAATACAAAAAGTAAGAAAGCAAATAACTGCTGCGGAAAACAAGATTGTTGCAAGGAGACAAAAATATTGACAAGGGATAAGTTTGCTGGATTGTCTATCAGGCTTAGAGCCTGTGTTAGCGGTGGAGCATGGTGGGAGTGGTGGTGGTGGTGGCGGCGTTGGTGGAGGGTTTCTGGTAGTGTATTTTACTCCCATGTATGACTGAGGTGGCCGAACTGATGAACAGTTCAGCTATTTATCATGGTACGTTGAAGAAGAATTAAAGGTTTAATTGGGTTTTTAATTAGTGCCGTATAAGAATATATGTGTATTGGATTGGATTAGAGAGAGAAAGAAGAGGGAATATATTTTCGAGAGAAAGAAGAGATCTGTGTTAAGTCGTTTGTTTTTTTAGAAGGTATCAATTGCTTTTAAAAGTATTTGGGAAATGATAAAAATCGTTATTTAGGAAAGAAAATAACAGAAGGTAGAGAAAACCTAGAACAAATAAAATGGAGATAAACCACGATAGAAAGAGATCCGGTCATTGGTCACTATTATAATGGACACTATTACATTTTTAACTGTATACTGTTTTACAATGGACCTTGTATATCCTGGATTGACCAAAAAAACATAAAAAAAATCCCAATGCTAACTTTTAACTTTTGCCAATATAAAATTAAGCACACAATGCTAATTACTTAGCTAAAAAAAAAAAAAAAAAAAAAAAAACACACCCACACACACAGTTAAACTATACTCATCACCATACATATAGAAAATGGGGTCATATAGCTTAGGGGTGCACAAAAAATATGTTGAATCGATATGTTTGATTTGGTTTTTTTACAATTTAGTTTGATCGGTTACAATTTCAGAAATATGGAACTGTTTATAAACCGTTCAGTTACTATTTTAAGTTCTACAATATCGAATCGAACCAAACGATTTTATAAATTATATGTGTATTTATATAAATATTAGAATAATAAGATTAGCTTTTTAACCATTCAACTATATATCATAATATATAATAAAAAATTATATTAAATATAATATACTAAATTAGAAAAAAAGTTCAAAACCGTAAAATCGAATCAAACCGAATCGAACCGAACCGAACCAAACCAAACCATTTTCTCACAATTTGGTGCGGTTTGGTTTCATTGGTTTCACGGTTTGGTTCGGTTTTATTTTTTATGGAACCATTAGAAATGATTTAGTTACAAAATATTCTCAAACTTACCCAATTCGAAACGTGTGCACATCTAGTAGAGCTAGAGAGAAATAAAGGACTCTTAGATTTTTAGACGTAGAGTTCAGGTTTAAATACATATTCAAATAAGTTGCATCCTCCTAGTTGCAAATTTAGTAGTGGTTCTTTTCTTTTTCTTTTTTCTTTTTTTTTTTTTTTTTTCTTTTTTTTGAATGTTAAGTTCAATATATAAATATATATAAAAACTGTACAAACCCATTTTGGGTCAAAAAATACAAATACAAAAAGCCCGTTGGCCCAACAAGCTTGCAGAGGCATGGCCTAAACAAGTAGCCCATTACAATATCTGCGATTGTGTTCCATCCAAATGTGGTAAGCAAGAGCTACAAGATATAATTTATGGACAATGGTTCTAGGGTCCTCCTTATCCCTCCAAAGTTGACTTGCCCAATGGATGAAATCTTTCCAAGATGAAAGCCGAGTGTAGAACGTGCAACGTGCTTGTAAAACGTTCCAAAAGGGTGAGAAGAATGAGCAACGAAAGAAGAGGCGATCATATGATTCAGGGTGAGTTGAGAAAAGGCTACAGAGGTTAAAATTATAGGGAGGTAATTTGTGCAAGATAACCGTCCATAGGATAAAATTATGCTTGAGGATTCGATGAGTGAACCAAGCAAGATGAGTCCATGGGAGAGTGGTGGTTGGTGATAAGGCTGTGATGGTGTTTGATATGGAGTAAGTTCTGTTGGGAGATGGTAAACATTGGATTCTATCATGTTGGTTTGGTCTTGGTACGTAATGGGAGAGAGTTGGG